ATGCAAAGGGATAGGAGCGAATGCGTTGCTTTGAGGGAACAGGGGGTTGAGTAAGACTGGAGCACTGTGTGCATGTACAGGAAATAACAAGAGATCGGAGGGGGCCCAGAGTGGCGTGGGAGAAAGTAGACAGTAGAAGAGGCTAGACTTCAAAGGACTTGTAAACCACTAGAAGGAATCTGAACTTTTGAGTCTTCAGGGAAGAAATAAGGGGATTTTAACCAGCGTAGAGGAATGATGACATACATGCGTGTTCTTGAATGAGTCATATGAGTCAGATTTTAGGGGAAAGAGGGAGAAAGAGTAAACTGAAGGCATCAAAACCAATTTTAAGACTTCTGCAATAATCCAGAGAAGACCTGCAAGGACCAGAAGATTAACCTCTATGTTTAATTAAATGGACCTGGAAAAATGTCTTTATTCACAAAGCCTAACACACAGAATCAATGAGGTTGGTAGAGAGAATTCAGGAAAAAATGTCGTAGACTTTATTCTAACCCATACATATACATGTGAATAATATCTTTAGAAATGCATAAAGGCCCCCTAAACTTGTGACAATTGATGTATTTGTATGATACTTTCCAAATGATGCTGGAGAAGAATGTGTAATAGCATAAAACATGGTCATAAAGTTATATATGAAAACATCTTATAAAAGAAATACGTAAAATATAATTCCCATTTGTATTTATTCATGAGAATTTTTTCTTCATTTGTTTTTGTTACAGGGTGAGTGCCCTTGCTGGAGAGAGAGAGAGAAAGAGGAAAAGTGAGAAATCACTTCCTAGAGTAATGGCCATGCTGCAATCCCTTCTCCATTCTCCTCTTGGGATTTACGGCATGCACACCCACAGCCAGCCTGATTATTTCAAACCACTCAGTATGGGATTCAATCCACGAAGTTGCCTATGTGACATTCAGCCACCTTAACCTCCACACCACCTGCAGGCCTGAGAAATCGTTTCTTAGGCCCACAAAACTGATGTTAGTGATAATCTCTAAAGAAAGACATGAAACTGGGCTACTGACAAAAGTTTTATTCATGTTATTCAAGAATTTTATAAAAATGTCTTTAGACACATGTATACGTAAAAATAAATAATATTTTCTATTTTGAGGGGAAAACTGAGGAATGGACTAAAATTTTGCATTGCTGAGACAGGGATTGACTTATTTTCTTCTTGCTTTTCTTTACTTTTCAAATTTTTAATTGTGCAATTGTGCCTCAGTTATACAGAGAAACAATTGTTAATTATGACATTAGACTGTAACTCTCATGTGAACAGATAAAAGTATAAACTGCATTTCTATCACATAGTAATCACTCACAATCAACTAAACATTTGTGTTGAAGTATTTGCAAAAGACACTATATAAAATCATTGTGTTCTGGAAAGTCTGTCCCTGTCAGTGAGTTTAAAACTACTGCAAGAAAATATGTTACTGACTTACATTAAGATAGAAGAAGAACACTGGAACCAGCAGATGGCATAGCGGTTACCTCACTGAACTCCCACATGATCTGCTGCGTTTTGAGTCCCGGACTTGGTGGCTTCAAAACCACTCCAGGTGTATGTGTGTGTATGCCCAAGATCCCAGGAAGAGAATGGAGGAGAAGAGACTGTGGCGTGACTATCTCCCATGGGGTTTGATTCTTGCTTTCTACTTCTGTCTCTGTCTCTCCAGCAAGCATACAGACCCTATACCAAAAATCTCTTTCTAAAAAATGAAGACCATTAAAACAATCATAAATAAGCCAAAATTAAGAGTTGTAATTAGCTGCTCATCTAAGAGAGCTCCTGTGGGCTTAACTCAGTCCAGTTTTGGCAGGAGAATTCAGGCTAGCAGAGTCCGTAGCTACTTAATTTTGAAACCATTTCCTTTATACCCTTGGAACTAATTCTGTATTCACCAAATTAGCAACTCAATAATAATAATAATAATAATAATAATAATAATAAGGCTTTTTGTATGAAATTTTCATAAGACTGGATCCCCTCAGTGCTCCTACTTTGACTATAATGGTAACCCAACAACATCTTCATTGGTTTTGTGAAAATGTGCCTACCTCTGAGAGGCTGAGGACCCCCAAAAGGGATCATGCTCACTTCATACCAGATCTGGAAAGTAGAAAAACTCACCCAGGTAACATGCTCCAGGATTCCCTTTGGTGATTTTTTTTTACCTTAGTTTCCCTGGCAAAACCCATCAAGTGGCTGGCAACAGCCTCAAATGCAAGGTGACACTATAAAAAGATCTCTAAGTTTGCACTATTAGGGACTTGGAGAATGACTCTCAGAACTTTAAAATAGAATCTGTATGTGGTGATTCCATTTTAGAAAGTTATCTGTTCTTCTGTGAGCTAGAACTGCTGCTTGTTGACACCAACAGAGCTTGGTTGGGGTTCAATTGTATCCTTTGCTCTGACTCTTCACACAGGGGCCAGCAGGTGGCATGGTGGTTGAAGGCACTGAACAACCACATGTCCAGTCGCGGTTCAAATCCTTGACCAGGTGGCTTTCTAATTCTCTCTCTCTCTCTCTGTCCTTCTCTGGTCAAATTAAAATAAATAAATAAATACATAACTAAAATAAAATAATTCTTTAAAAATATCTTCATAGAATACTTATAAAATGCTTTATACAATCATGCAACATTTCTGCTATTTGCTAAAATAGTATCAAATATCACAAAATAATAATGGGGGATATATATCACCTAGGTCCAATATATATATAAGTCAAATATATAACACATTTGGCTATTACTATTTTAAAATAATGTAACATTTTGCTCAGCACTGGCTTAGGTCCTAGAAATATATGATTCATGCAGAGATACTAATCACCCGTTAACTCTACTATATGCATAAATAAGACCCAGACACAAAAATAATAACTTACATGATTTATAAGAAATATTGCTACATGATTTGGGTTACAACATTGTGTTAGTATAGATGAGTAGTATAAAGTAGAGTTAGAAAAAGGGGTTAGAGGGACCAGCGGGTGGCCTGTTGGTTAAGGCACTGGACTCCCACATGGCTGATCACAGTTCAAGTCCTGGACCCGATAGCTAGAAAATTACACTGGGCATGTATGTGTACATTCCCAAAATCCCACAAGGAGAATGGAAGAGAAGAGATTGTGGCCTGGTCATCTCTCCTGGGGTTATTTCTCACTTTCCTTCTCACTGTTTCGCTCTCTCTCTTTTTCTGGCAAGTGCACGTACTCTATGGCTAAAACCTTAAAAGAAAAAGAAAACAAGTTTAGAATCTTAACCAGAGAATACCTGAAGTATCAAGTTGTTGTTACTGACAACTTCAGCCTAGCTACTCTGAGACCTGAGACCACTGAAGGACCTGAGCAGGTTGCCATTTGTTCTACATATTGTATTGCCCAGGAAGATATAAGAGTAGCCTGTAGGATCAATAGGAAATGCATAGACATCAGACGGTGAGATTCATTAGCCTACTATTCTGATTTGTCCACTAGGATTTTTATTCTAGGATAATATTCTTCAAAATGTTCTCTGACAATCTGCAAAAGGTAACTTGAAATGCTAGTTGATTATCCACATTCCTGGACCTAAAAAACAGACCTTTTTCACAGAGCTCTGATAATTTGCAATATACACAACCATTGGCAGGGCCACTATTGTCGGTTAGCACAATCTTTATATGAGAAATGTTTCTAGAAATTAAGGTAGTTTCTTTGAATAATGCCAGATTTGGGATAAAATGGTTGGCATTTTGAACTTAATTTTAGAGATACTACTTATAATGCAAGTTCATCAGAAATAAGGTTTCTGATCTTTTTTGTTTGCTGATATATATATATATATATATATA